GCATCATGTGTAGTTTTAAGGCTTTTTTTTCTTCTTTTTTTTTGGTCAATGAAAATTTTTATTCATTTCACAATATATGAAATGTGAAGTACATCAATACACCATTACTTTGGTGTTTACACTGTAAAATAATCACAAACTCTCAAGTGTTCCCTTTATATGTACAGGTAAGTTTGAGTTGAAAATTTTCGTGTAAATTGCCAGCTTGATAGCTCTGAAGACTTAACTCTGGCTCTCTGAATTTTTGCTGAAAAATCCTCTGTTTTCTTTCTTGCCAAATAGTATACACTGCAGTTGAGAGGGCCATTCTCTGTAAACCCTCCCCCCTTGAGCTTGTGCGAATACCAATTTATTATTTGGTTCCAGTCACAAGATTTCCATGAGTATTTCAACCATTCCATCAAGCTATTCCAGATTTTTGCTGAGAACAACTTTTTTTTTTCTTTTACCTCAGTCTTATTGTACATTTGGCTCACAGACAATACTAAAACGTCACCGGAGCCTTTTAAAAAAAAAACCAAACTAATAAGAGGAGCGTAAAAAAATAAATATATATATCAATATGATAATTTAGTGGAAGATGATTGATGAATACCTTTTTTTGCTTGCGGAAGATGAATACTTGGTATGACCTTTAGGTAATAAATGACGTTCCTTTGATTTGAACTAGGAGGACTAGGGTGGTTCGATCTACCTCCAACTAGAGGGGGCTTGAGTACAAACAAGGATCATATATTTTTTATCAAAGATACATGATCTTTGCTTGGAATTCAGTCAAAGATACAAGTACATAAAAATAATGTGATCTTTTATTATCTGCAGGAGCGCAGCTTTTATTTCTTTTTTCAATATAAAAACTTCATATTAAACTAGTAGAGAAAATACAACAAAAGAGTCTCATCAGGAGAGTTCAACTCGTACTTAATCCTAGGAGCTTCAAAAGAAGCTAGCGAGACAATAATCCTCATTTTGTACTTGATATAAATCAAAATATGGGCACATGGCATTATCGCTCCTGAACAAAATACAAAAGTAATTAGAGAAATTACAAAAGAGACTTTGACTACAATGGCCAGTAAGGGATTTGCACGAACCAAACCTGAAACTCAACCTGAAGAACCACCTCTATTATAGAAGAAGAGAAATTCTCTCAGCTAGTGACCCAACTTGGACAAATGGTCAGCCACAAAAATTCCTTCTCTGTAGCAATGATTAACTGATATACTGGCATGTTGTAATCTATCATGCATCCGGTTCCACGCAGCATGGAGCTGCCAAATGGGACATGCTTTGCCGATGGAATTCACTAAAGAGTCAGACCTGGCATTGGATGATTATAAACCCAACTCAGAAATGAGGTCAGCTCATGTTGGAAGTGCTAGAATTTCAACCTGAAACGAAGAACCAGACCCAGCAGGACCAGCAAATGCCGCTAGGTGCTTTCCAGAATGGTCATGATTAATGTTGGTGAAAAATGCTTATGATCGGAACAAATCACAAGGTGTGCGAACTGCCGAGGCGTGTAATCACTGTCCTTGAGAAAAAGATTTCACCCCTCATTGGTGCAAAAGGCTGCAGTGGCGTCTTTCCTCACAGGATTCAACGGCAGACAACATGTTAAGGTGCACTCCAATAACCTGTTCTACAAAGAACAACAAAGATCTCTCTTTGACAGGAAGGAAGATAGAGCACAAAGGGTTTTCAGTGTCCCAACTAAGGAGAACAAGTCTCAATTTATAGATGAAAAATAAAACTGTAGGAAAACCAAAGGTTGAACCTCTTGAGAACACCAAATTTTGAAAAACGTTGGGAACACCTAAGGTTGAAAAACATTGGGAACACCAAAGGTTGAAAAACATTGGAAAAATAAAAGGTTGCAAAATAAATAATAAACGCCTCACCTCTTATTCCAATGTGAGACTAAACATTTTTGCCTTTGTGCATTTGAAATACACAACAATCACTACAAGAAATCAGGTCTTTAACGACCAAAATTAACGAAGGGACTATTTAACCATTGTTATTATATATACAATAGTGACGGTTTCTCACACCTTCATTGAGCTTTTTATAAATATTAAGAGAGTTAAATAAGGATAGACAACGGTTATTTAGACCCTTCGATGATTAGGTCTTACTACCTTCGTTGATGAGGAGTCTTGAAAACGAAGGACCTATTAACCATCGTTAAAGATGAAACCTAGTCCTAATAGGAGAATAAATCTAATTAATATAATTGAGGAGTTATATATAACAAGTTCTCACATATATGTAATTCTCTATCTCTCTAATTCATCACGCAAAAACCCTAGGAAATAGTGCTCCTCCTCTTCATCAGTTCATCTTTCTCGACGGCAATATTACCAACCGCCTCCTCTTCTCGGCAACCGCAACGTGACCCTCATCCGCATCCTCTCCTGTTTCTCAACAGTAACATCATCTCCCCCTTCTTCTTACCACGGTAGCAGCAAGACCTCATCCGCCTCCTCTTCCTCTTTCTCGACGACAACCAACCCTCGCCCCCCCCCCCCCCCCTGTTTGATTTTAGTACACACCCTATACTTTAAACTAGATTGCACTTAAGTACCCCTTGTAACAATTAAAGCCAAAAAGATTTATGAATTTGCAAATAGGTGTTGATTCTATTCTTTCCATCAAAAAATATTTATATGATTGTTTAAAAACTTGTTCAGTTACGGTCTCTTATTTCTTAAAACATTTATATGATTGTTTAAAAATATTTATGAATTTGCTAAATTGATTCCTCGAAGGTAATTTTTGCAGTTACTGTTTGATTTTAGTACAGACCCTATAGTTTCAACTACTTTGCACTTAAGTACCCCCTTGTAACAATTAAAGCAAAAAACATTTATGAATTTGCAAATAAGTTTTGATTCTATTCTTCCTATAAAAAAATATTTATATGATTGTTTAAAAACTTATACCAATCCCACCGATAAGTAATTGCTTAAGGAAATTATTGGAACAAATTGACAAGCATTGGTCATCATGATCATTATCTAGATTTGGAGAATTCCAATGGCAGACAAGATAGTATTCAAAAGTTCTTTATTCTTAAAACTATGATATTTCTATTATTCACGTACTCCGTCTACATCTCCACTTTCACGTGTTGTCCAAATCCTTACTCAATCCCCGCTCTTTTGACTGCTCACTCAAATGTTCATCGCTACAAGAAATCTAGTATTTAACGACCAAAATTAGTGAAGAGACCAGTTGACCATCATTATATACATGTTGCAATTATATTGGCTTAAAGTACCCTATACATGTTGCAATTATATACCCTATAAATGTGTGGTATTTACTTAAGTTAAATGAATTTTAAATGATTATTTCTTTAGCTATTCAGATGTACTTGTCAAGCTTGGACATACCACTTTCCATTAACAAGTCATTTTGTTAGTTATAATCATAGTTCCTATGTCACATGTGCTTTGAAAGGAAAATGAGTTTTTTTTTTACTAATTTGTTCTATTTACTAATTTATTATATGGTAGTATTTTTGTCTTTAAATTGACCCTATAATTGCATAAATAAATACTTTCTGAATGACACCATATATAGGTTAACTTCTTTGCATTAGAATGACCATATATCTGAACTTATGAGTCTTTACATAAAATTAAGCATTTATTTGTGTTTAGTTTTTGAAGAGGTTGAAATATTTTTCAGGAAATTTTAGTACATTGCTTGAAATGGCGCCGAATAAAGATTGGATGGACCTAGTAGATGATGATAGACTTGATCCAAAATATAAAGAAGGGGTTGATCAGTTTTTAGACTATGCATATGAGAAGCTGTTTAATGGTTTCAATCAAAAGAATGGCAACTTTGAAATTCGAAGTCCATGTGTTAAATGCAGCAATGTGAAGTCTGGTAATCGTGAGTCGGTAAAGACCCACTTGATTGTTCATGGAATTATTAAAAACTACAGATTTTGGTGTCATCACGGCGAAAGACAGGGTGAGTCCATATCGGAGTTTGATGAAGAACAAGAAGAAATGACAGAAGAAAGCCAGAGTGACGATGAAATGCAAGAAATGATTGGAGATTTATTTCATAATTCAACTGACGTTGTTGCACCTGATGCCACGTCGAGTCAGGATATTCTTGAGCAGGAACCAGATGGACATGCAAAACAATTCTACAGTCTTTTAGGTGACTCCGAGAAACCTTTGTATGAAGGCTCTAAATGTTCAAAGTTATCTGCTTTAGTGAAACTACTTCACATAAAGAGCCTAAATAGGTGGAGTAATAAATCATTCTCAATGTTGCTCCAGTTTTTGAATGAGGATCTATTGCCAGGGGAATCAACACTGCCTAATTCGTATGACGTGGCCAAAAAATTAATCCGAGACATTGGCCTATCATATGAAAAAATTGATTCGTGTCCATTCTCTTGCATGCTGTTTTGGAAAAATGAAGAAGGTCTTGATACGTGTCAGAGATGTGGTGCTTCTAGATGGAAACTTGATAACAAGTGCTTCTACATTAGTGTATTATGTATTTATTAATATTCTTGTTCTTGGGGATTTTTTTTTTTTATTCATTTCTCTTTTGACATTTGTTTTATACATAGTGTATGATACTTAAATTCCTATTCATAGTAGAAAAATAAAAACTCAAGAAGTCACTTCCAAAAGCAAAAGGGCATAATTTTTAGCACCCAGGTCATTAATTAGGAAGCGACTTCAAGCACTTGCAGAAAATTCATTAAGAAAGGAACAACTCCGTACTTGTCATGACAAGAACTTGAATATTCAAAATCCAATACAAGATCAAAATATGGGTACAAATTTTAGTGCTGATTCAGAAAACTTTGAAGAGGAGAATTTTGCACAAAATCGCAGGGGAAGTGCAAATACTAACAATGAAGAGAATGATGATTCTACAGGTTGATGAGACTTAAAATTTATTATTATTTCTTTTTTATCTTTCAATTTATTTTTTATGATTGGATTAATAATTGCCCAATTTTTTGCAGAATCAAATAATCATCGAGTGCAAAGTGATGATGTAATACTAAATGAATCTCGACAAGAAGGTATATTCTTTATTAATTACAAGAAGTAATATTTTTATCAATTTCTTTTTACCTATATATTGTTTCTAGCATATGATATGATGTATGCAGCTGATAATTCTCATAAGAAGAAAAATCCACCTCGTGGTAATAATAAGTGTCTAAAGTTGAATAATTTGTCACATGGGGAGAAAAAGATCATTACTTTTTATCAGAATAGAGCTATTGAGCCAGAATTTTCACGATATCTTGGAATTATTATTCGTGATAGAAATATTTGCCCAGTAGCTGTTGAGAATTAGGCCAAAATACCACAACAAAATAAAGATCATATGTGGGCATCCATTAAGGTACATTGAAAATTAATTTTTTACAATTGGTTTTTAATTCTTATAAATTAAATTTTGATTCAAATTTGATATAGGATAAATTTGATGCTGAGGACATGGAGCAAAAGAGAGAGTTAGTAATGAGACACTTGCGCGATTTGTGGAATAAGTGGCGTGGTGACATGCACAGGAAATATGTGAAAGAAAATTCATTGCAAGTTGCACTTAGAAATAATCCTACAGAAGTGAGTGTTGATGACTGGGATTGGCTAAAAAAAGAAAAAAATTTTTTTTCAAAATTCCAGGTATTAATCTCCTAATTTTATTAATTTTGTTCCATGTATATTGTTGGATTGTTGAAATTATCTTTTAATCTTGATGTATAGAAAGCAAGCCAACAAAATACACTTAACAGAGGCAAAAGAAAGATGCTCCACCACACGGGCAGCAAACCCTTCAGACAAATTGCGTGGGAATTGGTAACTAATTTCCTATTTATTTAAAACTACTTTGTTTTTTAGTTTGATATTGTACTCATTTTTATTAATATTTGAATAAGGGTGGCAAGTCAGGAAATCCACCTGATGTGTCACAAATGTTTCATGAAACTCGAAAGAAAGCTAATGAAACACTAGATATTGGGGATCAAGATAAATATGTAAGTAGAATATGTGTTTAAGTTTGATAATGATGTATTATATAGTGCTAACATATGGATTTAATTTTTATAGGATGAAATTGTTCAAGTCAAACAAGCAAACCCTTCACTTTCTGACATTGAGATAGTTGAGAAAATCTGGGGGAAGCAATCTCATGGTCACATCACTGTATTTGGTGGCGGGACTACTTTAAAAGATTTGAGAGGACCGCTCCCTAGTCGATCTGATCTGGAAGCACGGGTTATAGAAGAAAAGAGAAAGAACCAGATGCTTCAACAACGCTTAGATGAGCAGGAGCAACAACAACAAAGGATGTCTGAGTTGGAGTCACAAGTGAAAGCTATGCAAGAACTTTTTTTTAGGCAATCACCTTCATTAACTCCTCAAACTCGAGAACATGTGCAGGACTAGGTAATTATTTTTTGTAAAATCTCTTATATACTTTTATGATTGACTACTTGCACTAAAAAAATATGATTTTTACTTAATAAGATAATATTTGCTTAATTGATATTTCTTAATTATGTGATTTTTTTTAAATTAATGAATGGAATTTTTATTTTACCTCTTATTCATTATTGGGTATTTTTAATATGTTTTTGTTGTGAATCTTAGTGTCTGGTTGAGAATAATATGATAGTTGCCTATGAATGGAAAATTTATTATTAATGTATATTAGAAATTTATATTCTACAATGACGGTTTTATAAACCGTATTTTGTTCATCAACGAAGGGAACGCACCGTCGTTGATGTGTTACTAATTACCCATTATGTGGACTTTTACGACGGTATCCAACCGTCATTAATTAGTCTTCAACGACGGGAAAATATCCCCGTAACTAATGGTAACGACGGGAAAATATCCCGTCACTGATGGTAACGACGGGAAAATATCCCCGTTACTAATGGTAACGACGGTGATAATTACCGTCGTAAATATTAATGACGGTAATATGTTCCGTCGTTATAGACTCTATAACGACGGGTAGTATATCCCTTCGTGACCCTTTAGCGAAGAGGGCTTCAACGACGGGTGACGAAGGGATTTTTCCCCGTCGTTAGCATACAATAACGAAGGTTTTTAGCTCTTTAACGAAGGGAAATCCCTTCGTTAAAGATGTAATTTCTTGTAGTGAATCTCCCACTATTTCAAAATACACAAAAGTGGACATCATTTGGAACCAAGAATAACAAAGGAAATGTCAGAGAGAATTGAAGATACAATGCATTAGATACTAATGCCTTTTAACTTGAACTAGTCCTAGGACAATGAATCTTATCTCACAGAAACATGGTAGAATAAATTCTTTGAACCAATATTCCTTGAGCGTGAAATAGAGGACTCATGCCTACACTGCACCTTCATTATATTGTTGTTCATACGGATATGCGCTTTTTGGCCCTGCGCTTCTTGTGCTTCATGAGTGCTCTAGAGTACGTGCCTAGGTACCTATAAGAATCGACCCAGTTCTACACTCACATAGGTGGATATCCATTGAATGTGTATAAAATACATCGCCACAAATTGGGCTTATGGACTCTCCATTAAGAGTTTAACTCATCCTTTCACAGTTTATCAAGTACTACATGTATATATGAAAATATACTATATGTATACAATGAACTATCTCACCATAGGTAAGGACGTCTCATAGAGAAATTGATAGTATTGTCAGAACAAGGAGTGACTTATTTTTCCCTTTGAACCATCTTCATGGGATCACCAATCACGTAGGTAAGGTTGTCGCCAATCTTCCTCTATTAACTAGGAAGTAGTCTCATCCCCCTCGATGTAATTTCCACTTGCCTCCGATTAAATGGTTTAGTCAGAGGATCGGCCAAATTTAACTCTAACTTCACATAATCTAGAGTTACAACTCTAGATCGTAGCGACTGCTTAATACTTGCATGTCTTAGACTTATGTGTCTACTTTTACCATTATATATATTACTCTTGTCTTTTGTAATTGCAGCCTGACAGTCACAATGCATAGACACAAAAGGATGCAGAGTAGAATCAATGGGAAGACATGCTAAAAAGTTTCTCAACCATTCAACCTCAGCACATGCCTTACTAAGGTAACTAACTTAGACTCCATGGTAGACTGAATTATCAAGTTTTGCTTGGATGATTTCCAAGACACTGCACCCCCACCAAAGGGTAAACACATAAAACTAGTGGATTTGATCTCTTGTGAATCTGAGATTTAGTTTGCATCACAATACCCTTCTAATACCGGTGGAGACCTTCCAAATCTTAGCCCATAATTAATGGTGCCTTTTAAGTACTTGACCAATCTTTTCTAGGGCCGTCTAATATTCCTGACTAGGACACTGGGTGTATCTACTTAATCTGCCCACTGCATAAGCTATGTCAGGTCTTGTACAATCCTGACTAGGACACTGGGTGTATCTACTTAATCTGCCCACTGCATAAGCTATGTCAGGTCTTGTACAATTCATCAAGTACATAAGGTCTGCCCACTGCATAAGCTATGTCAGGTCTTGTACAATTCATCAAGTACATAAGGCTTCTAATAATTTGAGCATATTTAGGGTGTGAAACACTATGTGAATTATTTTTCTTAAGTTGAACATTTGCCTCATAAGGCGTCGACACAGGCTTACTATCATAATATTCAAACTTTTTCAAAACTTTTTTCACATAACGTTCTTGAGTCAAAGTGAAACCATCTGTATTTCTAAGGATTTTAATCCCAAAAATCACATAAGCTTCTCCCAGATCCTTTATATCAAACTGGGAGGATAAAAACTTCTTTGTTTTACTTATTACTTCAAGACTAGGGCTCAAGATGAGCATGTCATCCACATAAAGGCAGATAATGACATACTAATGATTCTCAAATATTTTAAAGTAAACATACTTAACTTCATCATTTATATAATAACCATTGGATAACGATGCATTATCAAATTTTTCATTCCATTGTTTAGGCGCTTGTTTCAACCTCTATTAAGACTTAATTAACTTGCATACTTTTTGCTCATTTCCTGGTATGATAGTACCCTCGGGTTGATTCATATATATTTCTTCATCTAGATCGCCATTCAGAAAAGCTGTCTTGACATCCTTTTGATGAATAAATAAATTATGAATTGTTGCTAAAGACATTAGAACTCTAATAGAAGAGATTCTAGTTACAGGAGTAAAAGTGTCAAAATAATCTATGTCTTTCTGGGTGAACCCTTTAGCTACAAACCTAGCCTTATACTTTTTAATTGAACCATTAGCTTTAAACTTTCTTTTGAAGACCCACTTATAATCTATAGATTTAACACCAGGTGACAAATTAACCACCTTCCAAGTATGATTGGATATGATATAATTCAATTCAGAATTGATCGCATCCTTCTAAAATGGTGCGTCCCTGGAGCATATTGCTTCATTATAGATAACTAGATCAATATCCAAAAGAAATCTGTAGAAGTCATCACCAAAATTGGTGGATTTTCTCTTTCTTTTACTCCTCCGAATTTCTATTTCAGAATTTTTAGGATTTTGTTGTGAGTCTTCACAAACCATGTCTTGTGAGTCCTTATGAACCTTAAAGTTTTCAAAGCTACTTTTCATAGGAAAAATATCTTCAAAGAAAATAGTATTTTTACTTTCAATAATAGTATTTTCAGCTGCTAGATTATTATTGTTTTTTATAACAAGAAATCTACTAGCAGCACTATTTTGAGCATAACCTAAGAACATGTAATCTACAGTTCTAGGTTCTATTTTTCTCTTTTTAGGTTCATTCACATGGACTTTGGCAAGACACCCTCACACTTTGAAATATTTTAGGCTAAGTGTATAGCATTTTCATGATTCATATGGTGCCTTTCCATTTTTCTTATGGAGTATCCTATTATGAATGTGACATGCAGATAGAATAGCTTACCCCCACAAGTTCAAGGGAGCACTTGAACTCACAAGCATGGCATTCATCATTTTCTTAAGGGTTCTATTTTTTCCTTCAGCAACTCCAATAGATTCCGGAGAATATGAAGGAGTGGTCTCATGTTTGATGTCATGTTTATCACAATAATCTTGAAACGAATTTGATTCATATTCTCCTCCCATATCTGACCTAAGTGTCTTTATCTTATGGCCAAGTTGATTTTTAACTTTTGCTTTATATTTTAAAAACATGTCTCCTGCATCATTCTTATTTCTTAGAAGATAAACTTTTGTATACCTAGAGAAGTCATCTACAAATATAATATTGTAAAACTTTTCTCCTCTAGACATAGTACTCCTAAATTCACCAAGATCGGTATGAATAAGGGTAAGCAACTCAGTTTTATCTCTAGAAATAAGTTTGCAAGGTTTCTTTATGGATTTTGTTTTAGCACATACTTCACATTTTTCAAAATTGATATTAGAAAATTCAGACAATAATCCACATGCTTTCATCCGGTTTAAGTATTGAACATTAACATGTCCTAATCTACTATGTCATATTTCTAAGGAATGAAGCAAGTAAGCAAAAGAAGGTTTTTCATTTATAACATCAAGATCATTCAAAACAAACAGTCCCTAATTACAG